TATATTATGTATGTATATCGTGATAATTATGTGTGCACTTTTACGGAGCTGCTCTCAAATCTCATTGTACTGTGTACAATGACAATAAAGGCTTTCAATTTCAATTTCAATTTCAATTCAATCAGGTCAAGAAGAGTTGCTTCCCCAGTAAATAGTAAATTGACTGTATTTGTATAGTTCCTTTCTAGTCTTCTGACCACTCAAAGTGCTTTTACAATACATGCAACATTCCTACAGTGATGCACAGCATCGAAAGCAATTTGGTGTTTAGTATCTTGCTCAAGGACATGCAGCAAGAGGAGCCGGAGATCGAACCGTCAACCTTAGCGTTTAGTGAATGATCCACTCTACAGCCCTACCCTAAGTACTGTCAAGTTTTCAGAATTTTGGCATCGTAAATAATATTGTTGCCAGGTAAATAAGTATCAACCAATTATTTCCAAACTGTCTTGTTTGGTAAAAGTGCTGGAGTCCCTGGTAAATCAATAACTGCACACTTTCTCCATGAATAACATTCTAACCCTGGTTCAACTGGGGTACCACATGGGTCCTTCTAGTGGACAAGTTCTCTCACACATGATGCTTTTGAGACCATGGAAAGGGAACAAAGTCAAGACTTCAAATATGGTCAGAGATTAACAGCTCTGACCTCGTGGTCCAGGAAAGCCATTGAGGCCAACGGATCCTGGTGGTCCTCTTTTTCCTTTGATGGGGATGCACGTGGTATCTCCTGGAGGGCCCGGGGGCCCATTACAGCCTGCAGGGGACACAGATGGGAGAGAGAACTAATGTTACTAATATAGTTTTTATTTAGACTGAGAACTGATGGTTTATCTATGACACTCATTCTCAGTCTCACTCATTATATTTACACTGGTAGTTTATCACAGTACTGTAGCAGTATCACTCAGTGTTTACCTTTCTCACATCCTGGAGTAGTACTGTAGTAGTGCTATATAAAGTAGTACTATGGTAGTTCTACAGTAGTACTGTAGTGTCGCTCAGTGTTTACCTTTCACTCCTTTCTGGCCTTCACATCCTGGAGTTCCATCTTGTCCGCTCAACCCTCTCTCGCCTCTCCTCCCAGAGGCTCCAGGGGCCCCAGTCTGTCCGGGGATCCCTGGCCTTCCGTACAGACCCTGGGGCCCCATCAGACCTGAGACACACCATGAGTATTTCTGTGAACCTCTGTTGTCAGGAATCATTTAAACACAGATGTGCTGGTGCGAGGAGCTCACCTTTCTGACCGATGGGCCCCGGCAGTCCTGAGTCTCCATTGAGGCCAGAGGGACCCTGTGGCCCCGGGTACCCTGGGAAACCTGGAGAGCCCGGTTTACCTTGAGGGCCTTGAGGGCCAAAGCCTGGAGAACCCTCCTCTCCAATCTCACCTTTCTCCCCCATAAAACCTGAACAGAAATGAATGAAGAAATTACATCACATTACTTAAGAAGTAAGTAAAAAAAAAGGAAAGTAACGTGGAGTAAAGAAGAAAGTTAAGTTAAAAGTAAAGTGATATAAAAACAATGTACCTGGGGGTCCAATGGGTCCCAGAGGGCCATACAGGCCCCTGGGACCAGGTTTTCCTGAATCACAGAAGTCAGGTGTTGGCCCAGTGGGACCAGGTACACCTGGGGCCCCATCCTGTCCTCTCTGGCCCTTTGTTCCAGGGTCCCCAGACAGCCCTGAGACTCCTTCACAAACACAGAAAATAATTATGAATAAATGAATGACTGATTTCACTGCTTCAGCACAGATCAACACATCCTGAATTCACTTCTTCTCCTTTTTTTAATTTGAATTATCATCTTATTGTTGTTGGAAAGTATCTTTTAATTCAAAGTTTTTTAAGCTGATTAAATTAAATATATTTATAACATTCACTAAAATGGATGGATCAATATATTTAGTTATTTACCTTGTAGTCCGTCAGTTCCAGGGGGACCAGGGACTCCTTTAGGTCCCTGAGGGCCGACTGGCCCTGGGAAGCCAATGGGTCCTGAGGACCCGACATCTGAGTCTCCTGCTGGGCCCCTCAGTCCAGAAGAGCCCGGGAGCCCCGGAGAGCCTGGTAGACACACATATAGACACACTGTAAACCCAGCTGATAAAGACTCTACAGGCTTCCATCCATCTGTGAGCTGATCACAGTTAAAGGACTGCAGGATTCAGTGCCACCTAGTGGTGAAGTTACAGATTGCAACCAACTAAATACCGCTTGTATTCCAAGTCATGATGATTCCAGAAGAATAACTGACTTTTTTCACTTTTACTCAGAGGAGGAAAATTCTTCTACCTTTTTACATTTTTGAACATTTTCTATATAGTTTTTATCATTTTACCTTTTCCTGAGACCAGCATGTGTTTAAGTGAGTCTTAAACATTTAATTGCCATGAAGTAATTGGATAATGGTAGCTATTCGTTTGTTGTTGGATTTTGGACATTTAAGTGCATCAAGTGAGTGATGAGTGATAGCCTGCTCCACTCACATCAAGTTCCCACCACAAAAACAAAAAGCTCCAAAGTTAGTTTGTACCTAATCGGCAATTTATGCCACAATTTATTCAGGCCAAAACAATTGCGATATAATCCCAATAATCATATCAAAATCTCCTTACAAACTCTTAAAATAGCACTAAAACTAGTAGTGTTGTTTGTTAAGAAACAAATATTTTTATTGACCTCAACTGTGAACCTATTGTGACATCACATGTTGGTTTGTGGAGAACCGCTTTTAAGCCTCCAGTTTGGCATTATGGTCTATGCCATGACAGTTTGTCGCAGCCAGTAGTCAACACAGTAACAGAAACTGGATCCATATCTGATCAGCACTGCCTAGTTTGACAGTTGATTGAGCAAGCTGATCCTTCAGCCATGGTGATGGATTTTGTAAAAAGTGGAAAGATGTGGTTCCACTTTGTGGCAATTCAAAGTAAATCCCCAAATCCACATAAGATTTTGCAAGTTAGACATCTTTTTCAGGTTAAGCCATGTAAGGATATTCAAGATTATTCCGATAATACAAATTGTTTTTATTTAATTTTTATTTAATTTAATTGTTATCCCGATAACATTGTACATCGTCCCATTCCTAGTGACCGGGCCCAGATCACTTTCTCTAAAGAGTCTCTGTGCAGTTGATTTGATCCGATTGCTGTGATCAGATTCACCCAAAACAATCGTACCAACATGAATACCGATCACAGTCCGATTTAACCAGACTAAACAACACTTGAAACAGGTAAAAATTGACCATTTTGGTGTCATCTGGAATCACGAACTGGTGACTGTACCTGGATCTCCACCATAACTGAAGCCTTCAGGTCCTTCTTCTCCGACATCTCCAACAAAACCTGGGGGTCCTGCATGAGTAGGAAAGGGTTACCGAAGGACTACTGTATGTAAAGATAATGTTAGCAATAATGCTATATGTATATATGGATCGTGTGATGGACAGGTGTGGTTCAGGTGTGACGGCTGTGCTCTGGTACCTTGTCGTCCAGGTAGTCCACGGGATCCTGAATATCCTTTGTCTCCTTTAGATCCATCAGGTCCAGTGATGCCACGGAAACCTGGAGGACCTGGGAGTCCTGTGAAACCTGGAGAGACGGGCAGGTGAACCAAAAGGTGGCCAGGAGGTCAGACACACAGGTGAACATGAAGCCAGACAGACAGATGGTGATGGTATTTACCTTTATTTCCGGTGTCTCCCTTCGCTCCGGGGGCGCCAGGGTTTCTGGGTATGCAGGGAAGAGTGTCCCCTACAGGAAGAGATGGAATCACACAGGGAATGCAAAGAGTTATGGAAAATTTAATGAAGGAGTCGAGGGAAAGAATGATGGAATTTTGGGAAATAATATATATCTTAATTTAAAGTTGACTTCCATGTCTACCTCTAACCCCCTTCGGCCCTGGAGGGCCAGGGAGTCCTGGTGGTCCCGGGTTTCCAGGAGCTCCACGCTCTCCTACTGCTCCGACTACACTTGGCCCTGTGGGGCCTGAAGGTCCCAGTAATCCCTTTGGCCCTGAGAGTCCTCGGGACCCTCGTTCCCCAGGAGAGCTGGAGAAACTGTCACCCTAAAAAGAAACAGAAAAGTGATGTATTGATGAGAGGGAGTCAGAACAGCAGCACCACTGACCCCTATAGGCTGCATTGCTCATTACGCCCACAACAACCAAACTTGGGCTGCCCCCGCCGAAAGATTTTTAAAAGATATTTTACTAGCCGTTGCACGTTTAAGTTCTTTGTAAAAGTTAAGAAGAGAATTGTTGAGTGTAAAGAGTAAAAGTTTGTCTGTGAACGGGAGTTAAACACGTCTACTTCTTAGCCACCATTTGTCAAAAGTCCTTGTCACACCTATTGTGAATAATTTAAAGGAAATTAAATGTGTTGATAGCTATTCTTCAATAAAAACGAGTCTACATACTGCAGTGAGGAAGGTGGCGGTGTTTTTTTGTGCTTTAACCGCCATGAAAATAATGTTCGTCAAAGCGAGTCTAGCCAAGCCAGCACGAAAAAAGTGCTGTGGAAAAGTGTTACTAGAGAGTGCGACTGACCTGGGTGCCGGGGTTTCCAGGGGGCCCTGGAGGCCCATTGAGTCCTCTCCTCCCTGATAATCCTGGTTTGCCTGCAGGGCCCTGCTGGCCAATGTTTCCTTTCTCACCTGGAGACAAAAGTCCAATCAGACCCATTGATACACTGACATTATTAATTCAAAGGAATTAGGTTTCCTGACTTCTGCCTGAACACAATTACTGTTTTTTTATTCTAATTTATTTAGAAAAAAATCTGGGCAATAAATTCAAAATGGCTCAGATCCTCACATTGCCCATTTTTCCTGCTTCTAATACATCAACTCTGAGGACCAAATGTTTACTCTCTGCCTGATATACCCCCCCACTGACAGGAGCCCTGATAGCCAGATAATCAGAGTTACTGGCAGTGCTTACAGTGTTATGCTGATCAGTGTAAGTACATAAACACATACAGTAAATAGGTAAATAAAATTAAACAAAATTTACATTCAAGGGAAAAAAGTGTTTAATGTCGTTTTAAATTAAATAAATAAATAAAATTGTTGTATCGTAAATTATTGATATATTGAAAGGTGATTCGTAAGTGTTCTCACCTTTAATATCCACCACAGTGAATTCTCCCTTCTGACCTTTGAACCCTTTGACACCTGGAAATCCACCCAGACCCTGCAAACAAATCAATCAACCAATCAAACAAACTTTGTGCTTCAACTGGCTGCTGATGTGACCTCTGACCCTGTCATCTGGGGACTCACCTGCTGTCCTCGCTCTCCTGTGTCTCCAGGTAAACCCTGATCTCCTCTCAGCCCAAGGGCCCCCGGTGTTCCTGGGAATCCTGGAGACCCCGTTGAACCTGCAGGGCCCTGGATACCCTTTAGGACAATCGGGGGGCCACAAGCACAGTCGCCACTACTACCTGAAACACAGGTAGATTTAAAAACGATTATATAAATGTCAATAACGTGGAGTTCCTCAGGGAAACATCCTGGAGCCGCTGTTCTTTTTATTATGGTCCATAAAAACATAATTCAATCAGTCAATATGTCCAGACACTGACCTTTAAACCCTTCGAAGCCCGGTGTACCCGGGGGCCCTGGTACACCTGCTTCCCCAGGCATTCCTGGAAACCCTGGAAGACAGTAACTACCTGAAAAGGAAAAAAAAGGAAGTCAGTGGGACGACAACAAGAAGTGATTATGACATCACCAGGTGTGTCTGAAGGCACAGGTGTAGCAACGACAGGTAGAGACTATGTTCTCCGGTACCTGGAGCCCCCGGTATTCCTTTAAGTCCTCTGGGTCCAGGTCGTCCTGGTTTTCCAGGTTCTCCAGGTGAGGGTTTGCCTTGAAACATCTGACCTGGATCTCCTCTTTCCCCTTTTAATCCTGGAACACCCCTCAGTCCCACAACACCCGCCGGACCTGAAGAGGGACAACAGAGAATAATAATGATGAATGTACATTCATACTAAATATCACTACATGTGATGCTGCCTTGCTCATTGGCTGCAGGGTACTGACCTGGTAAGGATCTGCCGGGGGCTCCTAGGGGCCCGTGCACTCCCATCAGCCCCAGGTCTCCTGGGGGGCCTCTCAGTCCGGAGGGCCCGGGGTCTCCAACTTCACCTGGAAGACAAGTGGCAGGTAGCTGACATCATACCAGACTGATGACATCATACCAGAGTGATGACATCAAACCAGACTGATGACGTCATTCAGGATGGTGACATCATACCAATCCGACGGTATGTTTTGAATATCAGTGTATTGATCCGTACCTGTGTGTGTGATGTCTGCGTCCTGAGGGAGACCTTTAGGACCAGGATCTCCCATCATGCCCTGGGAACAGATAGTGTCAGTGTTACAGGTGAGTTCCTTAATGCTGCAGCTGTTGTTCCTGGTTCCTGTATTTATCTGTATGTGCTAAAACAACTGACCTTAGGGCCTTCTCGTCCAATCAGACCTGGGAGACCTGGACTTCCTGGAATCCCCTGAAAACACACACACACATACACCATTAAAACAGGGAAAATCCTGGTTTCATCTCAGTCAATAGTCGACTCTTTAGTATTCACGTTTCTTTGTTTCTTTTAACTACAGATTCGTCTCCCAACAAACATTTCCAGAAACACACACACTCACACACACTCCATATACTCAAACATACATTTATAAACTAATGCACACATTCTGCATTAATACAATGCATGTTTCTCTTTATGTGCTTATGATTTATTATTTTATCTGATGTAAGTTTGTGTTTTCTTGACCCACCTTGAATCCTGTCTCTCCGAGTGGCCCAGGGTTACCAGTAAATCCCTGAAACACATAAACGCTTTGAGTCAAAAAGTTAAAAATACTGTGAAATCTGTTCAAATCTGTCACGTTTAAAAATGTTGGTAAAAAGCTAAAAGAATGTTAATTGTTGTTTGTTGTTTACTTTATTCTTTATTGTT